TATAATTCTTCGATAAAAATTTTTCAAATTTTTATATTATATTTTACATTTTATATTTTAATAAAATTTCTATATCACTCTCTATTCCATAATCCTTTTAAACACGACCGAATATTACAATTCGGAAGTCTGTTCGCCAAAATGTCGTCCGGTACCCATAAATCATCGCCTCCTCCCAGCATCTTCACTTTGTACCCGATCGAAATTCATCCGACATTTTTTCCCCGTCGTCTGCCGCCGCGAATTACGCAGGGAACAGCAGTTTTTGCCACGGTTAGATGAAACTCGAGCGACTGTTAGCCACTACGGCTAGGCTATATCAAGCCGTTTTTTCACCGAGCGACGATAGTCACGATCTAGACACGTTTCACTCGCTGGCATTTTGTATTGTAATTTAATGGTCTTCTTCTTCGGCTCCGCCGTTTCTTTCCATTTTTTTTCCATTTTTTTTCCCCTCCGTTCCTCCCTTTCTCCATTCTACCATGATGCCCGATCTAACAAGGTGAGAACGAGCATCGACGTGCCTCTCGGTACATAGAAGAGAGAACTTTATAACAGAGAAGTCTGTGCGCCGCGAACCGTATAAATCCGGCATCTATTATTCCCACGTTTCCTAGACCGTGACGATTCGTTCGTAACATCAAAGCCACTCTCGATCGAGTGGGAGTTCTTCTCGCTTCTTTTCCGGCTGTTCCTTCTTCTTCTTCCTTTTTTCTTTCGTCCACCGCGAAGGATCATAGGGCACTACAAGCTCGCTATTTCGACTTTCTCCAATTATTCCACAGAGTTGAACGCGCAAGCGTGCGCATGTGTGTGTGTGTGTGCATCGTGTCGATACTTTCGTGGAAAATGACCTGATTTCTTATCTATATGCGGAAGAAACACACGCATTGTTCTGTTAATAGATTACTTTCTGCACGTTCAGATTACTCATTTTTCCAGCGAAGTTTAGAGGATATTTCATGGGAGTTTCATACTGGGAAATTTGTCGTGTCGCATGTATGTATGTGTGTTTAGTTAGGTTTTTTTCATATTGTACGTGTGATTGGTTTTAATTTGTTTCGGGTTTATCGGTGATTCTGATTATACGGTGGCCATCGACGCGTGGAGATATCAACGAATGGTTCCGCATTCCTCACCCCTTGGCGGACCTACGCGTTGAACCAGTCGCCGCGTCACACTTTAGAGTTTCACGGTTTCGCGTCGGGAAACCGAGTCGACGAAACGCTTCACGGTGCTATGGCCACGGTGAACATTAAGGAACTGCTTTATGCAAACGCGGCAGAGGGATCGCCGGACCGTGAACACCAGTCGCCTAAAACCTTTCCCACAATGTGCTGGCTATGTCCATCCGTTTTACCAAATTAGAAGCGGAGGAGAAGGTTCTTTTACCAGTGAACTAAAATGGAGTAAATCGCAACTGAATCGCTGCAGATAAACGGAGAGCGAAAACTACGAATCAAATGGCAATTAAATCGCTAAAAATGATATTCCAAGTCTGTACAAAAATACTCAAAAGTCACCGCTCATGCAAAATATATGCAAAGTGTGAAAAAATTAATCCTATCGATATTTTTTGTGATTACTTTTACTCCGATTTTCTCAGCTGTTAACTGAGTTCATGTTTCAAAGGGAAATTGAATCTCTCTAGTTTATAATTAAAAATGAGTAGAATAATAGTCAAACATGAATAATCCGTTAACTGAGTTCGTGTCTCAAATAGAAATTGAATCTCCAATTTATAATTAAAAACGAGTAGAAGAATAATTAAACATGAATCATCTCTAAATAAATAAACTACCGTGTTCTAAGTATTAATTAACCAATGACGAGTTAACTCGTCTTGCCCAGTTAAAAGGTTAACTTCGTTTCAATTTTCTAAGTAAAATTCATCGCCCATTCAAGTAAAAGAAATTAAAGAACAATTATTCCAATAATTACCTCCATCCTTAACAATCCATCTCTTAAAAATTAGAATCGAAGAGAAAGATCC